CAGTGTGCAGTGTGTGCTCAGTGTGTGCTTGTAGTACTCGTGATAACTCAGACATGTATTTTTGGTTTCGGCAGCGCAGCCTGAGACACAGTTCAGTTCTGGAACCCCAGCGGCCGGCGGTCATGGCGGAGACGCCCCATGTTGCCTGTCACAGCCTGTGCCTGGTCTCCTGCTCCAGGGCGAGGGACAGGAGGGAGCAGGAAAGAGGCTGCAGTGGGCCCTGCTGGAGCGCCCTTCATCTCCCTGTGCTGCTCCTGGTTCCTCACTTGTGTCCCTCCCTTCTTATCCTACCTCCCCCCGTCTCTTTCCTCTCCTCCTCCCTCTCCCTCTCTCCCTCTCCTGTTCCCTCTCTCTCCTCTCTCCTCCCCCTCTCTCCTCTCCCCCTCTCTCTCCTTTCTCCTCACACCTCTCTCTCCTCTATCTCCTCACTCCCCTCTCCCCCTTTCCTCTTTCTCCTCTCTCTCTCCTCACTCCTCTCTCCCCCTTTCCTCTCTCCTCTCTCTCCTCTCTCTCTCTCCTCTCCTCTCTCCTTTCTCTCCTCTCTCTCTCTCCTCTCCTCTCTCCTTTCTCTCCTCTCTCTCCTCTCTCTCTCCTCTCCTCTCTCCTCTCTCTCCTCTCTCTCCTCTCTCTCACAAGCACTGGTGCAGAGTCTGTGTGCTGGTGCAGTTCAGGCAGCTCACATGGCAGCACCAGTGGAAGGTGCAGTTGCACCGCTCAGTGACCCGCTCGGTTCTGGTCCGGTACCCCCGGCCGCAGCACAGCAGCTCGCACCCATCCAGCGCCGGGGACGAGCTGTTGCAGTTCCTCCCGACGGTGCCGGGCGTGCCTGTCTTCCCGTTGTAGGAGCAGAAGTTGGGTGACTTCTCGAAGTAGACCAGGTCGCGGACGGACGGCGGCTTGTGCGCGGGGTTCTCGGGCTCCAGGTGGCGGGGGTCCGCCCTCCGCGAGGCCCGGTTGCTGCCCTTGTTGCTGTAGACGACGCGCGAGGCCCCGTCGAAGCGGTCCTTCAGGAAGTCGCCCACCGCGCGGAAACTGGGCAGCCGCATCCAGCAGGTCCGCACGGTGCAGGAGCCCGACATGCCGTGACACTTGCACTCCTGCCTCATCTCCGAAAACACCGTCTGGGAGGGAGAGATGGGATCGTTACGGATTCGCTGGAAGACCAGGGGACAGGGGGCGGAGACGGGGAAAAGGGAGATGCAGGGCGGACAGCATGGTGGCGCAGTGGTAGGCATTGCTGCCTCACAGAGCTGGGGCGCCGTCTGTGTGGAGTTTGCACGTTCTCTCTGTGTTTGTGTTGGTTTCCTCCCACAGTCCAGAGACATGCTAGCGGGTTAATTGGCTTCTGAGAAAACTGGCCCTGGTTTGTGTGTATCTGTGTGTGTCTGTGTGCCCTGTGATGGACTGGCGTCCTGTCCAGAGTGTACCCTGCCTTGTGCCCGTTGCTTGCTGGGATAGCTCCCCGCGAGCCTGAATTGGAAGGAGTGAGGAAGCAGGCGGAAGAGGGAGAGGAGGGGAGGGGACAGCCGCTCACCGTCCTGCCGGCCTCGTTGTTGTGCAGGTTGATGAGGAAGCGCAGGTCGCGCCCCCTCTCGCTGGAGTCCACGAACTCGCGCCCGAAGGCGCGCCCGAAGTCGATGTTGTCGCTGCAGCCCCCCCAGTGCCAGTCGGGCCCCCCGGGGCCGCGCCGGCGGTAGTCGCAGGTGCACGACTCGATGGAGCCCTCGGAGCAGGAGCGCGCCACCGCGTGGGTGACCCCCGCGCTCGTGATGGCGAAAACGAAGGCCGTCTCCCGGCAGCCTGCGGACAGCCACGCATGTTAATGAGTCCTGTTCAAGTCCTGTTCGTTTTTAAACCTCGAGCTACTGGCTGCCGATGAGAATACACTGAGGAAACTGGGGTTTGTTCTAGATATGAAACAATCGAGAAAGTGTGATAAAGTCTTATATTAAAGATCTCACTTTCATCTTTTGCATTTCAGCTATTTAACTCAGGTCCTTTTCATACTTTTTACACAGTGACATGCAACCCATATTTTAATTGATTTAATTCATTAACATGGGGCTTTGCATAAGTCAGTCAGTGGAGGCACTTTGAAATGAAAAACTGTCTCACTGCAGTGTGGGGCCGGTGGTGCTGGAGAACTGGAGCTGCACACCTGCAGATCTGCAGGAAGACCCCCAGCACCAGAGCCAGGACCGGGGGGAGGACCAGCACGCTCTGGCTGAGAGCATCGCAGGTGCTCAGGCCCCTGTTGTCAGGTTCTGACGTGTGTGCGTGTGTGAGGGGTAGTTACACAGCATAAAGCCTACATCTTGATGAATTCTCTGCATGTGAAACCTGTCGTGGGGAATATTTGCAGAAAACCAGAAAGTGCAGAAACAGAAAGTGACGTTTCAGAGCTACTTTAAGATGAGGACATGCCTTTGTACCCTGTATGGTAATATTTATGTTGGCCTTAAATGTTAAACTGAAATATATACTGCTCCTAAAATGTGTGCTCGATAAGCTTCCCGATAACTGACATTTATGGTAACAGAGAGCTGCTGTTAAAAGTCTACCTCCAGAGCAGGTAGGGAGAGATAATTGTACATCTCTGTTTCCTCTGGTCTCCAAAGAGTCATTGACATAACAGCTTCAAACTGCCCCCTTCAAACCTTCACTGAGCTGCGCTGGGACGTTTTGCAGGCCTGCACTACCCAGTCCAGCCACTGGTGGGCACAGCTGCACAGCAAGCCCAGATCGAATGATTGGCTGCAGACCCCCTCCCGCCCCCCGCCCGTTACTGAACTGGCGCTCTCCCAGGCGGCCCCGTGACCCGGCAGCGGGTCCCGAGCCCTGCTCCGGACACGCACCGCGGTTGACGATCTTGCCGAAGACATTGGGGCTCTGCGTGGTGGGGCAGTTCCAGCGCCGGCTGCGGAACTGCCACTTGCACTCCTTGATGGCGGCGTGCAGCCCCCCCGCGATGGCGTGCAGCACCCCGGGGTTCTGGCGGATCAGGCGCCGTTGCCGCCGGCTCAGCAGCTGCAGGCTGGGGTCCAGGACCAGCTGCACGTTCCGGGAGTCCGTCAGCAGGTTGGCCGAAGAGGCCACGTTCACGATCCCCCTGTCAGCACGAGTACAGCAGAGCCCCGGGTCAGCCAGGGGGAGAGGGAGGGAGAGAGAGGGAGAGTGAGTGTGTGGGAGTGAGTGTGAGGGAGAGTGAGAGTGTGAGGGAGAGTGAGAGTGTGAGGGGGAGTGTGAGTGTGAGGGGGAGTGTGAGAGTGGGAGTGTGAAGGGGAGTGTGAGGGAGAGTGTGGGAGTGGGTGGGGAGTGTGTAAGTGTGAAGGGGAGTGTGTAAGTGTGAAGAGGAGAGTGGGAGTGTGAGAGTGTGAGGGGGAGTGTAAGAGGGAGTGGGAGTGGGAGTGTGTGGGAGTGAGTGTGAGGGAGAGTGAGAGTGTGAGTGGGAGTGTGAGAGTGGGAGTGTAAGGGAGAGTGTGGGAGTGGGTGGGGAGTGTGAAAGTGTGAAGGGGAGTGTGTAAGTGTGAGGAGGAGAGTGGGAGTGTGAGAGTGTGAGGGGGAGTGTAAGTGGGAGTGGGAGTGTGTGGGAGTGAGTGTGAGGGAGAGTGAGAGTATGAGGGGGGGTGTGGGAGTGTGAGGGAGTGTGAGGGAGAGTGTCAGACGGAGTGTGAGGGAGTGTGAGAGTGTGAGGGAGTGTGAGGGGGAGTGTGGGAGTGTGAGGGAGAGTGTCAGGGGGAGTGTGGGAGTGTGAGAGTGTCAGGGGGAGTGTCAAGGGGAGTGTGGGAGTGTGACAGTGTGAGGGGGAGTGTGGGAGTGTGAGAGTGTGAGGGGGAGTGTGGGAGTGTGAGGGAGAGTGTCAAGGGGAGAGTGGGAGTGTGAGAGTGTGAGGGGGAGTGTCAGGGGTGTGTGGGAGTGTGAGAGTGTGAGGGAGAGTGTCAGGGGGAGTGTGGGAGTGTGAGAGTGTGAGGGAGAGTGTCAGGGGGAGTGTGGGAGTGTGAGGGGGAGTGTGGGAGTGTGAGGAGGAGTGTGGGAGTGTGAGGGAGAGTGTCAAGGGGAGAGTGGGAGTGTGAGAGTGTGAGGGGGAGTGTGGGAGTGTCAGGGGGAGTGTGGGAGTGTAGGAATGTGAGGGAGAGTGTCAAGGGGAGAGTGGGAGTGTGAGGGGGAGTGTGGGAGTGTGAGGGAGAGTGTGGGAGTGTGAGAGTGTCAGGGGGAGTGTGGGAGTGTCAGAGTGTGAGGGGGAGTGTGGGAGTGTGAGGGGGAGTGTCAGGGGGAGTGTGGGAGTGTGAGGGTGAGTGTCAGGGGGAGTGTGGGAGTGTGGGAATGTGAGGGAGAGTGTGAGGGGGAGTGTGGGAGTGTCAGAGTGTGAGGGGGAGTGTGGGAGTGTGAGGGAGAGTGTGAGTGGGAGTGTGGGAGTGTGAGAGTGTGAGGGGGAGAGTGGGAGTGTGAGGGGGAGAGTGGGAGTGTGAGGGGGAGTGTGGGAGTGTGAGGGGGAGTGTCAGGGGGAGTGTGACAAACTGTAATATTTATTCTGCCCCCTGTATGAAAGCCCCCAGCCCGGTAGCAGGCGTGCTGGCCTGGCTGTGCAGCAGCAGCGCTGGTAGCGAGGTCTCAGGAGACAAACATTAATAATTATCCACTCTTTTTCGGCGGCTCCTGCCAGCCCTGGCTTTCTGGGAACTTTTTCTTCTTTTTCTTGGCCATGGTGGCGGGAGTAAATGAGTCTCGCATGTCAGCTCCCTGAGCAAGTGGAAGAGTTTTAACCAGCAAGGGGCTGGGACCCTAAACTCCCAGTTACGGCACACTCTCCCTGCCAGATTAAAATGAGCACCCTCTCCGAAAACAAATTCCGAACAGTGAGCTGTTACAATTTTCATGCTGCCCAGCACCGACACAGAGCATAGGAACTCAGCTGCTCTCCTGTTTTCTCCTGTTTTTCCTCCGTGGCCGTTGATTTTAACCTCTAATCAGTTTATCGTGGTTAATTGTGCAACGGTCTCTCACTACTTGTCACTTTGAATTAGTAAAAGTACCCCCGAATATGATCGGTTTACAAATCGGCGTTGTACTGAATAACCACGGCACAGCCTACGAAAAATCGAGTACAGTACTGAGCAGGCGATTTGGGTCACTGGCGCAGTTTGTCACCACCTGACCACGTTCCGTCACCCCTGCGGTGGGCTTCCTGTCGCGCGCCGCCACTGTCCCTGCAAGTCGGCAAATTGCAGGTTATGACGCCCACATTTAGTGCGGAGGGACGAAATTAAAACGAGTGCAATGCAATCCATCAAATAGACATACGTATACACGTGCATACACACATACTGTACTGTAGATAGGCAGACCTCATTTGGTTTTACACAGGGCAATCAGGCTCTCACAGTGTGCAATTAAATAGGCACCGAATTCCAGAAAGCCCCGGATAAGCATAGTTTTCGTTACACAGAATTTAGATTAAGTCAAAGTGCGCAGGCATTATAACTTCATCTAAGCTGTAACATTACGCAGTTTCACCATCCGCATAACCCCGCGAGCGACCTCGAATGGAATTGCGTTCAGCCATAAAATAAATCCGCATTTAATTTATCCCACATTGGACTGAAAAATGCTGTCCCGTGTTCAAGCCGCACTGTCGAAAGGCTGGGGCGGGGTAGGGGGGTGGGGGACAGGCGCGGCCCTTGAGCCTCACTGCACAGCTGCTGTAAATAAACACGGCTCGCGCAGGCAGACACACTCCCGTTTCCACGTGTACTACTGCCCTGCCACGCGCAACCCACTACCGCTACTATCTCTCAGAATTAGAATTGTATTACGAATCAGGCCACTTTTCGTTATTTGCTCTTTTAAAGACACCTTATATATTTATTTTTCAGCAATTTGCTATAGATAGCCGAGGGACTCCCTGATACGCGTTAAACGTCTTTTGGAATTGTCTCGATAAGTGAGAAATGCCACCGGTGTCATTATGATCGAAATGTCTTGAATGAATATTTCTCATCTGAATTTAAATACACGGCAGATTATTTTTTTTGCGGAAACAAGAGTTGAATTCGGCGCCGTAAGACCGGCTTTAACGAGGTGAAGAGGGTCTCGCCCTAGCGCGCGGCTCCGCTTGCGTCTAACCAGCGCTCCCATCGGTCCTGGTGTCCTCGCGCAGAACAGCCGCGAGGCTGCAGTTCGGTTCTGCTCAAAGCGCAGCTCGCGGCCCTCGGCGACCCTCACGCGGTGCGGCCGCGGGCGAGTCGAGACCGCTCAGCCCAGCCCGAGTCCAGCGCTGTACAAGTGCTCTACCGAGCCTAGTAGTTTCAGGCGCACTGTGTGCTTTTCAGGCTTTTCGCTAAGACACAGTGCCAGTGAAACGGCACAGAGATCTGCTGCCCCGAGCGCACCGGCAGGTAACGCGAGTTATTCTAAGGCACTAGCGTGGGACCTCCGAGTGAGGAAATGACCCCACTCTTGAACAAGATTCCGCGCTTCGAACAGCCTCTTAATGTGCAAATAATGGATTTGAGAAACTTCTTCAAATCAGTGGCGAACTAAAATCTTCTTTCCATTTCTTGGTCTCTTTCGTTGACCTGGGTTCCGATTAATCTTGACTTAAAACAGTGTCACTGTATTTAGTCCTAGGTGTAACTGTTACAGTAATAATAAGGTATATTAAAAAATAATTGACCATTTAATTAATGATTTGATTGTAACGCACACTTAATGTCGAAATTGAGACTTAAATTTTTGGACAAATCAAGAGAATAAAAAATGCACTTAAGATAAACAAAATAAACACATTGCTGTTTTGCAAATTAATGTCCGCACTAATACGCTACCGTCCGCGACTAAACACAAATAGTTCTACATTTAATACAGTTCATTTTTAAAGGGCCGGGTGCCTGAATACATACATACGTCTGCAGACAGATTATCTCCATTCGTAAACTATACATGTGGATCTTTCCAACGGGGTGTGTTTGTGCATTAATGACTAAACCGGAGAAATAATGAAGCTCGTGACCCACTCACCACCAGCGCCCGCTGTTGTTGACCGCCTCCGTGCCGGACAGCGAGGAGACCAGGAGCGCGCACACTGCCCGCACCGCCGCGAGCAGGGCGAGCACCCGCATCGTGTCGCGGTGACCAAAAAGCTGCTCGTCGCTTTTCTCCCTTGGAAAAGGCAAGCCCAGTACAGCCTTATGATAAAGGACGGGCCACTTCTCAACAGAGAACAGCCCAGTGCCGCGCTCACAAAGTCTACAAAGTGACAGAGTCTGTGATTAAATTGGATGTTCTTCTCTTCTTCTATGATTTGTTGCTTGCTTCGAGGCTAAATGGTGCTGTTAGTCTTTGGGAAATAATGTCCATATGCTTAGTAATTTATTTTAAAGAGTTGGTTTCTCCGTTCATTGAAAACAATCGGCGTGAACAGGAGACACCCGACAGTCTCCTGACGCGTCCCAGAAAGACCTTCTCCTCCTTTCTCCCTTCCCCGGTGCTCGGTAAGGGACAGGCTCAGTCCGGAGCGACACTTGTTATGGCGAGATTCTACACCAAGGTGTCAACGCGAGCCGCAGCACCGACAGAAAGAGACACGGCTCGTCCTCCCGGTCACACAAGAACCTGTGTCTCTGAGCAGGTAGTTACATGCTCCGTCTGTACAGGGGGCTCTCGCGTCGCGTATTAAAATCAGCAAAAACCTCTCTGAAAAGTTTATTTCTTTTTTCACAAAAATGTTTTTTCCCCCTTTTGTTTTTGTTTTTTTAAATGACTTTGCGCGACGGAAAAACCCAGAGCCGGAGAAAGACCGAAGTGTCCACGGCGCGAGCGTCAGCTCGTCAGTGTCCTGCCTCGAGCGCGGACGTGCTCTCCTCGAGCGCGCTGCCTCTCTGCTGGGGTGCCTCTTTGCAGACGAGCACAATAAGCGCGTGGGACAGGCGCTCAGACTTGATCCCAGCAGTGAGTGATAGGCGACACATTCTTCACTTATTGAGCGCAACGCGGGGACTCGGTGAAAAAAAAAAGGGATTTGCTACAGCTTGCTGTCCTCTGCCTTTTTGTTCGCTCTGTTGAGTGGTAGGAGGGACAGGTTAATTCCCTTCAGAGACCGCAATAAGGACTGGAGCGGAAAGAGAGGAGCGACAGATAGGCGGAAGGTAGGAAGAGAGGCTGGGAGGAAAGAACCAGGAAAGCGGGAATGAAAAGAGCCGATTTGCGCCAATCCTACACGTGTTCCACGGTATTTTTAGGCTGGAGGCACCACATCCAAACCGCCCTGAGGTTCTTCTCCTGTTTGCGAGGCTGCCTGCGTTACGCGCGCGCGACTCCCTCTGTCCTCTCCGTGTCCCTCGCACGCTCCTGCTCTACCTTACAGCGAATAGCAGGGGCTCCCTGAGCGTGCAGGTGGCAGATCGGGTCCGCACTGTAGCAATGGGAGTGCATTCACCCCCCACACACACACACACACCCCTCCAGCCTAGAAATCTACTGTACCTCGCGCCCGGAGCGCAGCGCGCTAATCTGGAACTCCGAGCGCTGCGCTGCCTATCCAAGCGCTTCAGTCTTCCTCTAACCCCCCACCTCTTCGTACTTCGATCTCCATCGCACACAATTTACGTTCTTTCCTCCTTCTGACTCCCTGGATCTTTGCCGCGGTCCTTGAACGCGTCAGGGGCCGCGCCCGTGTGGGTCTGCCCGGGGCCGCTCAGGTGTGCTTGCTGTTAGTGTGCGCGCACACAGGTGCACGCGGGGGCACACGGCCAGATTCACACTCACTGGCATTCAAATACACGCGTGTGCACTCACATGCACACTCGTCCCTCCGTATCCCCCCACACCCAGAAGCCAAAATGTGAAAATATGACCCCGCCACACAAACCCCTCATTTGCACTGCAGTTACTGTAAACTGTACTGATGCAACTGATGCTAATTCTGCTCCTGCAAGAACCATTGCTGCTGTTGATGCTACGAGGGCTCTATTTCTGCTGATTCAACAGCTACTGCTACCACTCCTACTGCTGCCATTACTACTACTGCTACTATTTCTGCCGACTCTACTACAACTACTGCTTTACCAATACTACTTCTGCTCTGCCACTACTATTGCTCTATTTCTGCTGATTGTACTACAACTACTGCTCCACTAATACTCCTGCTACCACTACAATCACTGCTACTACTGCTGCAGCTGCCACTACTACATCCACTGCTACTGCATCTGCTGTCACCACTACTACTAGTACTGTTAGTACAACTCGTACTTTTCTGCACTACAGCTACTTTTCTATGACTGCAGCTATTAACAATGTATTATTATTAGTAATTAGTGATTAGTTATTATTAGTAGCTGGAGGTGTAGCTACTGATGCCACAGCTGCTGATACTAGTGGACCTGCTAGTGCTTTTGGACCGGTCCCGCTACAAGTTCTGCTGCTACAGGAAAAGTTCAAGCGCTGCTACTGCCCTGTTACAACTACTATTGTAACTGCCATTACTATGGCTGATACCGGCACAGTTACTGCTGCTGTTACTGCTAGTATTGCTGTTACTACAACAACTACTGATACAACTGTAATAACCAGCCATTCCAATGAACTTCTCACCCTCTTTTGAAATCAGCAAGCACACGACTTCTTAATTAGCCAAGTGATGACTTGAAACGACAAGGAGACATTTTTTCGCGGTGTGAGAAACTTGAGACGCAACATTCTGGCAAGAAAATGAATAAATTGTGCTGTTTAAATATTTTTTTAAAAAAAGCCTTCGGCACATCTGGATCACAGGCCTCCTCCCCGCCACATCTGGCCAGTGGTGCAGCAGCCCGCGCGCCAGACCGCTCCCCTCTCTTCGCGCGCCACTGTTTATTCTGCGCTTTGGAGAGCTACCCGAGCCCGCCGCGCGGACACGGACTGACAGACGGACGGACGGACAGATGGAAATGGCAACGTGGAAATTTTCCATGCAGATTCCAAACGGTCCGTCCTGTAGGAGGGCAACCAAGGTCTAACCTCAGTTACAGGTGTTTTTCTACGGGAACTGTGATCGCTCTCAGAAATAATAATAATAATAATAATAATAATAATAATAATGGTGGTGGTGGTGCAGATGACGCACTTATTCAAATGACGCACGGTGCGTGACTTATTGCCTTAAATGAACTAATGATGCGCAACTCTTTATTTCGGACAGAGAGAGAAATCCGAAGCTCAAACTCACAATGTTCTCAAGAAGATTAAGGCCCACCGACCCACGGAGAGAAGGAAGTCTCGTCTTTGTCTCCCTGTTTCATGGCGGCTCTCACGGCTGCTCGCTCCTCAGTGTATCGGTTTGCAAACGGTTTTGCCGGCGCATTCATGCGGTAAGGAGCAGATTAGCCGCCAATCCTGTTAAAGGCGCCTTTTATATACAAATCAACTCCAAATCACTTTTTAAGCCACTTAGTTCTACACGCCTAGGCAGAATGCTAATGCCGTGCAGCGGGGAATGAGAGCTGAAGCGAGCAGAATTGGTTGTCAGTGTGTGTAAAGCCCTGTGAGCGGAGTGTCTTTAAACTTCATTTAATTACACATCCGCTTGGAACAGAAGCCTTGGAACATGTGTATTCATATAGTGCCCGTCTGTCTCCCTCTGTGCATCTTTCTATATCAGCGTGTCTTCTCGCTTCTCTGGTCTCCTGATTGACTGGAATTCACGGTTATTGTGTTCAATAAGGTAACATGTACGTAATACAGGTTCTGTGTCAATCGAGCGTTCTGCAAGGTTGTTCGACATTTTTAGTAACTTTCTGCTCTACTACTGCAGGCCTGCTTCGCAGAACATTGCAGCCATGCCAGATTGAAGTAGGCGCCTTCTCCCCCTAGCCCTTGACTAATATTTCAGCAGGACTTCCTCGCCCACGCTACACACTACCAGCCCACAGCATGAGCGTCTGCGTCAGGCCTTGCGCAAGGCACGGGCTTCCAGCAGTAGCGCACGGGCGCGCGCTGGCATGCCCTCAGGCGTTGTTGTGCGCTTCGTGGACACCTGTCGGTCGCGCGACAGGCCTGTCCGCTGGTTTCCTCCTGTCTGCGGGTTTCTCCTCAGACCTGCCCTGGAAGATCACCGCGCAGGACGCAACGCTCGCTTCGCCGCCCTGCTCTGAGGTTTTCGCCCTCCCGGCGATATCCGTGCGCTGTGGCCAGTTCTCCAGCTGCTGCGCTCCGCCTTTGCCGGGTTAGAGCACGGCACGGGGAAGAGGGGGCTCTCCAGTTTGTGTGGGGATTTTTTCTGGGAGTGGTGCGTGTGTGTCAGAGCCGCCTGCAGGGCGAGAAGGGGCAGCCCAGCCTAGCAAGTCCCGACACAACAGGAATTCACCCCGCCTGGGGGTCAGCCACCGAGAAAGGGGGAGAGGGAGAGGGAAGGAGCGGGACAGGTAAGCTGAGTGGGGGAGGAGAGGGGCAGAGAAGGTAAGGAAGACCTGGAGTTCGAGGGCACGGGGAATGAGGGAAGGACAGAGGTAAAATCGCGGTCGCTCAAAGCTCTGTGCACAGGTGTTCCTCCGGCTCCCTCTAGTGGCAGAACGCTGCAAACGCCAGGTCTCCCCCGTGCTCTTCAGGTCGGTTATTCTGAAGCACTTCCAATTAGGGGCTCCATGAGAAACGTCCGACTGACAGACTGACTAAAATCGTTTATTTCCTTCCTGGTTGGAGAGTGCCTTTGTGAATCCCAGACCTGGTAAGCGCATGTATGACTGGAATGCACAGATATCTTTATCTAGCAGTAGGACTGATGCTGTGTTGGTGTATCCTCCATTCTGTGCATGTTGATGTGTCACAGTTGCATCGACTCTATGCCCAGGTTGTGTTCTGGCATGCCTGTCTGAATACCTGTTGGGGCCTTTTTGGATATATAGTATTACATGTATAGATACACGTCTGTTTCACTGGTCAAAGTGACACAGTCTGTAGCTGCTAGCTGTGACTCTATGTCCTTGAGGAGGAATTAAGGCACAACGGCAGACGGTTCTGTTCTCCAGCCCTGTGAAGACATGGGAGCTAACCAACGTTCACATGTGCATAATTCGCAGCAACTGCTTGTTCTTGAAAGACACCATAACCCCGAAGTTGTAAGAGAGATATATATAATTAATGGGGTTTGTTATTGAGCCAAGAGAAACACAAGGTAAGTCCCCACCTGTGCTGCTGACTCCAGGAGAGCTACGCTGATGATTAATGTCTCCCTCGTGCTGCAGGTGAGCTGAGGTGTGGCTGGTAAGTACGCAGCCTGTCACTGCCAAGCAATTTTCATCACCGCTTGGTTCCTGCCCCGGTCTGTGGTTTCAGCTGCGCTGCTTGCACACCACTGGGATGCTAGCCAGGGTGACGGGTCCCTGCAGGTCAGGTCTGGATGGGCCATGCACTCCTGTACCCCCCTCTGGCCACTTTATTAGGACCTCTACGGAATTCTAGCACAGGTGCAAAGGTGGGTGTAGAGGAGAGGATGGAGGCTACAGGTACCTTCTAAACGATGCTGTGATTTCAGCAGACAGTTTACTGTGGAGTGCAGGGTATCAGGCACAGGGCAGCACAGGGAAAATATAGTACAGTCCATACAGCACAGGGCAGACACAGTACAGTCCAGACACAACACAGGGCAGACACAGTACCGTCCATACACAGC